CGAACTGGTTGGTTCGACTTTTAAGAAATTCGAGTTGTAATGAGTTTGAGAACTGAGGTACCACTGTATATGACTTAAGAGAACCTGGTCCTGCTGAAGATGCCACACTGCTCTCGAACTGACCTTTCAGTGTCAGTTTTCAGGGTCACTGTTATGGCCAAGGAGATGCAAGCTACCCTGTCAGACTAGGTGGTGCCAAAGCAAAACTTGGGGGTATATTTGCCTGTAGTGCATCATGAGAATTAATAGACCACTAACCAGATATTCCTTGGCAGTAATGTTTATTGTCTGTAGTCTAATTTTTGCACCTTAAATAAGAATTAGTTATAGGTATTGAATTTACAGGCTTCATAAACTGCTCATGTTTTCTGATTCACAATTTTGTAGTCTTATTTAATTAGAAGCTAAAGACATAATACGTGTACTAATTTGTTTTGAAGTTGCAGAAAAGAACTTTGATTTACTCCAAAATAGAGCAGAGCAGGTTCACAGATGGTATTAGTTCCTATTGCAATTCCATGTTGTAGCTAAGTGGGCACGTCAACTTCAAGGAGCTACTTATTTGTTTAGATGATGGGGGACTTTGCCAAGAACCTAAGAACAAGTGAAATCACTTTTCTGCTTATGTGAGGGTGTCTTTGAAGCGGCCACAAGGACAGGAACTGGGCTGGAATGAAGATAGTCCTGGTTTCCTTTCGCAGTCCAAAAGCATGCATTTGTGTGAATTAGTGACTCCATAGTATGTTAATCTATCAAAAAGTTTCATAGCATGAGTATCTTTTATACACTATCGTGCACTTGATTGGAACGCATCTCACAGTGCCTTTGGGTCATAATCCATTAAACATGTTTTGGCACAAATTAAAAGAGTTTCTGATCATTGTTCTCACTAAATTGAATGCTTATTGTCTCCTCTCATACACTTTTCCATATCTCTCCTAAAATGTCTCCAGGCACGATAATTACGTCTTGAGCATTCTGGCCAAGCTGCCATAATAAGCTTGAGCGAAGCAATGCGGACTGAATACCTCGGGGTGGGAGTGAGAGCAGGGCTGCAGGGTCTCACTCTTTCTCAGAACTAATCATATCGATGTGCTCCTCCTGTTCTTCATTATCCATCATTCTATGTATTAGGGAGATTATTTTTTTTTGGAACAGACCCCCCTTTATGTCCATGCTGAAGACCTGAGCAGCAAAGTGCCCGTATGTGCAGCAGTTGCTGCCAAAATGTCTACTTTTCCTCCCCCCACAACTGCAGTTTTATGACTTTTTAAACCACAGATCTTTTGTTGACTGCCCCCCCCCCCCAAACAGAAATGGGAACCCCAGCAATAAAAACCCCTGTCCTGTTTAGTAATCCACTTATTATATAGTTGTTTTTCACCAATCCTCCCAAGTTGTCCCTTTCTGAGATATTTTACTGGAGCAACTCACATAAAACATCTTGATTAAGGTCCTACAGACGGCCCCTTCTGAGACTGGAACAAGCAGATTCCAGGTTACCGTTCCAAGCTTCAAATTGTTATTCTTTCTTTGTACTGCATGATCTGGGGAGAAAAAATAATGAACAGAGTGTCTATCAGCAACATATTTTAACAATGATGACAAAAGGAATTTTTTTCAATTTTAACTATGAATGGATGCATCTTGTATTAATGGTTGGGCAACTTCAGGTTGATTTTTCTGAATCAATTAGCCAACCCTTTTATTTGAAGGATCTTGCATAGTTATTTAATACACTAACCATTATAATTAAGCTTT